GGTTGAGAGGGCATGAGATTTTAAAAATTAAAATAAGTAATCTAATCTATAAAATTTCCAGTGGACAGATATGCACGCAAAGATAGATCACTGTATTACCTGATGGCAGCCAGCCCACCACTAGGGAGTCACAGCGTACATCACACTCGGAATATTGCCACACGAAAGTCCTCCCGGTATATCCACATTGCTCAATCCGAGACGGAAAACGCCAATTCTCACGACGAGATCACTCGTACTCGCCTTCAGGAAGTACGCCCACACTCTCGAAAAAGCAATACCCGACAGAAATAACCACAAAATTCTCTATAATCCAATCTGGCAACTCCGTGAAGTGATCGTTCTCCAAACGTAATAATACCCAGCCAGATCCTCTCCAAGAAGACAACTGAAAATCGTTATTTCCCTTTCAGTCACCAAATTATAATGTGTTGCGAATTTCCGAAAGCTTTCTAGATAGTACCGATTTTGATATAATTTCCGACAGTGGAGCTCAGTCGTTCACACATAAATGGGCTAATGGTTGACGTATGTCACGATGTCTGCCGATTTCTGTTAGTGGTGGTCTTGTCAGCTGGAGACAGGCAGGTCGATGGACATGGTTTCTGAAACAATGGAAGAAAAAAAACTCATTTGTTTGAGTAAAGAGAAAACCGCATCGCTCGACGCAATAACCGTCATTTAGTGATGTGAAAGAACGAGAAGGACAAACAGAAACAACGGACGGAAAGTAAAGATGTAGGATCTATTAGTGGCAACTTCAAATAACCAAGGAAAAGGAGAGGCATGTATTGACAATTCATTTATTTTAAAGTATACAGCACACTCAAACACAGATATTAAATGTGTATCTTTTAAAATACAACCCCAATGAACATATTATAGTATATTTAGTATAGTTCCTTCAGTTTCGCTGGGTTCCTTTCCAGTTTATCTTTGAAAATGCCGTAAACCGCCCTCTGCCCACCTACCCTTTCTTATACAGTTACACATAAAGGGATACAGAGAGAGAGAGGGAGAGAAAGAGAGAGAGAGAGAGAGAGAGAGAGAGAGAGAGAGAGATAGAGATAGAGATAGAGAGAGAGAGGGGGAGGAGAAAGAAACATAACAGAAAACAACGCACACCAAAATAACAAATTGTGTTCGAAGCCAAGGACTTTTCAAACGTGTGGCAATAGCGGGAAGTTCAACATTCCTGTCCTCTCGAACTTTGACCCTTGAGGTTGGACGTGCTCCGTCTTGACAAGCCGCTAATGGTGACACAACGTGACACGTGAAAGGAGCGGGGACAGAGGGGAGACGACCAGGAGGGGAACCGTCTCTAAGGGGAGATTATAACAAGTATCTGACCAAACAAAGAATGAAAATGAGTTAGAATGGCGCTCGTTGAAACACGAAGTTGTGTAATCTGCAACATGAGCGGGGACTGAGAGGAGCGGACAGGTCAACACGTTCTTATATCCTGTGCGTTTTGGGACAGGTTCCTGTGTTACTTTCATTCATTGAGGACCCCAATTCTATGTTTGTTTGAGCAAAGAGAAGCACATGGTAATTTAGTAATGGGAAGAAGTAAGACAGAGAGACAGACAGAAACAACAGAAGGAAAATAAAACAGAAGGAAAATAAAGAAATATGACCTACCAGTTGCGCCCTCCAACCACGTGTACGCCCATTCTAGTTTTACGACAACGCTTCAAGGCCCGCTGATTTGGGGCCAATTTTTAAAAAGAAAAAAAAACCCTCAGTATTCAAACAGAATTGTTTTCAATTTTGTTCTCTTCACCAGAAACTTAAACGCAACAACTTTCACACTAGAAAGTATGCAAATTCGTGTTGATGATTTCCGTGTCGTGGTTCAAAATGTGTCACAACATTGCCTTTGGTGGGCATCTGCTCGTACATATATACTATTTGTCCTCTACAGCTACGTCTCTTAAGAGTTAAGCATTTACTTCAACCCAGTTACAAGTTGACGATCATAGTTACAGACAAACAGAAAAGACTGTGGGGCAAGAGATTTCAAATGACAAAAAAGAAGGACAAAATTGGTCGAAAATGTAACATGGAATAACAAGTCGGCGAGTCACAGCAGAGAAGACAAAGTGAGTAAGACAACTTCAATTTCCCATTTAGACGGCAAAAACAAAAGAAAAAGCATTACATTATATTACATCTTAAATGTCAGTTCGAAGTTCCATGTACAACATCACTGATGGTTTTCGTCTGGTTTTACACGCCATTTAGAGAGTTTCTTTGAAAGCAATTCCGTAAGCCGCAAAAATCATCATTTTATGTTCAAACTCTATACATTTACAAATGTGTTTTGTATTCTGACCGAGCGACAAAAAGAACTTTCTAGAACGCAGACATGATTTCAGACAAACAATGGTACTCAGACCTAGGGCAAACCTAGTATCAGTCTATTGCCCCGACTTCCGTAAGAGGTGTTCAGTTTATTACTCTATCAGACGGCTTCATTCTCTCACTTTATTTGCAGACTGGGACGTCAGAAATTTATGACTAGCCCCGGCAGATGCAATATAGTCCGCATTCTGGAGTGGTAGGATAGCGGTTCTTCCCGGTATCGATAACAAAAGTTTAAAGATAATATCTCGATTACTTTGTGGCAGTGTTGGGGCCTATATCATCATCATCAAGTGTCAGATATGCGACAGACATCGGCGATCATGGATCTCCATTCATTCCTTTCCTCGGATTGTTATATCGTAACTGTAACTTATAATAATACTACAGTCAAAATTGTTCATTAGACAGACAGACGTCTTATACAGTACCGTTTATATTGCAAGAAGAAGAAATAAGCAAGGGAAGAAATAAGAAGGGGTCTTTTGTACGGATGAGTGTCTGTACAGATGGCCGTTAGAGGAGGATTGACGGTATTAACAAAGAGACTGCTGGTGGAGCCATGCTTTGATTAGTATCACTGGGTTTAATATGGTCGCTTTTAAGCACAAGGGGGCTATCACGAAAAAGGTTGTTTTGATAAAATCGCAGGTTAAGTTTTTGCCCCTCTTCCAATTTCTTTAAAAGACAAGGAGAGTTTTCTCTATAGCCAAACAAATATACATACCAAAGAAATCAAACGTCTCCCATAGGTAGGGCAATGGCCACTTTTGGTGTACGTAAATATTTCTGGAAACTCCCTCAATCTGAGTTAGCCCGCTTGTCCTTAAAAGCGAATGTATTACATATTCATACGCTCTTTTTGTGCCTTTCACTGGTAGGTGAAGAGAGGG